AACATTGACTTTGTTTTTTTCATTTAAGCTCTCTAACAGCGACTCGCGGCTTCTCGTGTCTCCATCCTGATGAGAGGAAATTTTAGAGTACACTCAGAATTTTCTTTAACTTTTACAACGTGAATTTCATATTCTTCCGCATTATAAGGAAGGAGTTTCTCTTAAGTTTTCTCTTAGAAAGCCTTTGCTCTACTGCAGGTACCCTCTGTTCTTCTATTGCGCGTTGCCTCATAATTGCACGTTCTTCTCCCTCTTGCCGAGGATAGTCAATGAAGTCTCCATTCTCTTTTTCCTCATCGGCTTCTTCCAGTTCTAGCGGAATTAAGGTATTTACCGGTCTCCTTGTTGTTCTACCATTGGCCATTTTGAGCTCTACCTGTCTAATCTCTTCCTTAGCCGTACTTCCGAGTCTTGTTATTCTTCCCAATCTCCACGTAGTTCTGGGAAGAAACGGTTCTTGCAGTAGGACCACTTGCCCTACTCGTGGCTTCTTGGGCGAACTTTGACCTTGGTTAAGATTTCGAGTATGTTGCTTCTCAATGAAGTTAGGTATGAGTCCTTCCACAGCTCCCAGAAGCGTTCCGCAACTTCATATGAGGCCTTTAAGGCCTCTTCTTCTTCTCGTCTAGTTCTTATTTGAGCGGCTTCTGCCGGCGGTGAGAAATTGGGGTCTTTTGCATCGTTTTGCGTGTCCTCCATCAAGTAGGTGATAACTATCCGGTTTTGGAGAAAGTCGACCAGGCGAATAGAGACTAATTCACCAAAATCTTTTTCCTGATACGTGAGCGGTCTATTGTTGAGACTTCTATCTCTATCAAGATGGTTCTCAATGCGTCTTCATTAATAATTTTTCTATCCAACGCTTTGTATAATGCCTGCTTGACATCCTTTATAAGCCGTTCGTAAATCCTCCTTGCCATGGCGCATATGGCGTGATTTTCCGCCATTTGATGTGCGCGTTAGCCATGAATTGTTCCACTTCGTCTTTTCCTTCAACGCCTTGGAGGAAATCTGTAAGAATACGCTCTGCAAGCACGAAGGTAGGCGCATTATCACAAGTGATAGAGTGCGGAACTCCCCTTCGTGAGATGAATCTACGTAGTGCGTTTATGAAGGATGTAGTTGTATTATCCGTCATTAATTCAATATGCATCAGACGCGTGGTTGCGCAAGTGAATATGCATCCGTACGCTTTTGTCTGATTCCTTCCGCGTTTCGTGTCTTGACAGGTCCAAACAAGTCGAGTCCTATATCTTGAAATGGACGCGATCTAACAACTCTTCTTGTCGGCATCTTTGCTAATGGCTGGTAGCGAAAAGGAAGGTGATTGAATTTTTGACACGCTACACATTTTATCGCTTTCTTCACCTGCTGCCGTAGTTTTGGAATCCAAAACTTTTCCGTATTTCGGCCTTTGTAAGAGCTGTCCCACAATGGAGTTTCCCATGCGCTTCTCGAATTATCAGTCTAGCAAGACCGCTGTCTGGAGTAACAACGGTTGGATTCTTTGCATCTTCGGAAATGTGACTTTCACCCAATCGTCCATAACATTTCCAAATTCCATTCTTGTACTTGACTATATTCAACTTCCTTTGCGTTTTGGATGCGATCAACTCGCTCTTCTGATTTTGATGGAGTTTAATGACAAGTTCATCCGCTTTTCTTATATCTTCAGCCGTCATTATATTAATTCCTTTTGATACTGCCCTTCCGCCTTCCGACTTTCTGCTTTGAAGCCTCTGAAAGGCCCCTCGATATACGTTCTATAAACTTCAGGACGTAAAGCATTGTTCTTTTCAGTTTTCCTAACGATCTAAATCTTTCCCATGCGATAAGCTGTGGCTGCTTCTCATACGTTTAAAGTTGAAGCACCATACCTTTCAGTGGTAACTCAAATAGCTTGCCTTCGCCTGACTCTCCATTTGAATTTGTTATTGAAAGTGGTGGACCGTACCACCACATGTGGTCTTGGAGTTCACTTGCGGTAAGACCTCTCGTAGCGCAATCTGCAGGATTCAATTTGGTACTGATATATCCAAAGTTGATCTCCACTCCTGCTCCCTTGAGCTTGGTTACGATCTTCTTAATTTCCTATTTGAAACCCGTTGAAGACCACAGGATTCCTGTGGTCTTTAACGGGTTGTCATTCTTCAACCAACTGAGGACTATTTCAGAGTCCGTTAAGACATAAGCTGCTTCCACTACAATGGTTTTCTTCAGTTCCTCATACGTCGATAAAAGTAGTCTAACAGCTACTGTCAAAGCGTTCATCTCCAGCTTCGGAATTGTATGAGCTTCTTTGGAAGGCAGCTTTGACTTTGCTATTAATAACTGCTGTTGATCTCCTTGCTTGAGATACACACATACAGCCATTGCTATGCTGCTGGCATCACTACAGGCTATTAGTTGCTACTTTCTACACTTGTTTGCTACTTTCCTTGGTAGCTCCTTCTTAGATCCATTTATGGATTCGCATAGCTTCCTCCACTGTTCTTTATCGTCTTCTGATAAAGTATCGTCCCAACCATATGACTTCAACCAAAGTCCTTGAAAAAAGCACTTATTCCTGATCATCAAGGGTGTAAGCCAACCTAGTGAATCGAAAACAGATGCGTTTGCATGCAGTACTGTCCACTTTGTAATCCGCTGAAGTGTTTGCACGATGCACTGGATGCCTAACACGTCTTTTTGGGTGATCCATTCGATCCCTAGGACCTTGCTTTCTAGTGAAATACTTCTATCGCTCTCAGCGAAGCTTTTACTTGTATGTCATTGGTGAGAAATTCCCTCATATTCATATTGATAGCATCAAGGATTCGTCTGAGACTTCAGGGTTATTTGATATGTCAATTTGTTACGATAAAGCCCTTTTGTAAAGAAACGGTGACTACGCGAACATCTCGTTAAAAATTCACGCTATAGGGTTGTCTACCATCTGATCACATATATATATATATAACTTCACTCGATAGGATATTACTGTAGGGCTACGACTAGCGTGCGGTGTACGACGTAGTGT